TAATCATCACCTTTTAAAATAATATACATTGCCAAGGAGTGAAGGTAGTTAAAATAATAGCAGTGTCAATGGAAAAACTGTCCTTTTGACACTTGTTTTTTTTTGGGGGGTACGGGCATAAAAGTCCAAGATTGACAGTTAATGAATCAGTTGTAATATATTTGCTTGAGAAACTTGCAATTTCATTTTAAAGAATGACTCCATTTTTATTAATCACATTAGGACTTAGATCTGTTTTGATAGTTTTGCCTTGTTTTAAGTGATAATAGACAAAACCTACAATATTTTCTTTTCTTGCACTTCTTGCCTGTGGATGTGGAACTCTTTTCCAGGTTTTTTGCTTTCCTGTCAGCTACAATCTTCAAAAATTTAAATGTGATGTCAATCGTCATCTTCTGCTTTTTGGACACCTGTTCTTTTATTGTTCTTTCTACTCGATAACATTTTCATGGCTTCTTTCACTTTCAGTAACTCTTTGCATCTTATCACTTTGCTTGGGGTGACATTCGTCCTTGCTTTGATTATTGCTGTCACATATGGTTTGTTGCTCCTGCTATATATATATATATATATATATATATATATATATATATATATTGGAATCCTTGATAAAATCAAAAGAAGAATCTGTAATGTCATTAGTCCTGACCTGGCATCTCAGCTTCAGTCACTTTCCTACTGCCGTAATTTCACTTCCCTGGGCCTTTTCTTTAAATACTTTCTTGGTAATTGTTCTGATGAACATTCCTCTATGATACCTAGAGTTTATGAATTTAAGCACAGTACTAGATTGGCAGCAATGTCTCATTATTTTACAGTTTAAATACTTAGATATGACCATAAGTTCTATGCTAACAGTTTCTTTTCTTGCACCTCTCACTTGTGGAACTCTTCCAGGCTTCTTGCTTTCCAATCAAGTTTGATCTTCAAAAATTTAAATGCAATGTCAATTGTTATCTTCTATCTTAATTCCTGTTCTTTTATTGTTTTCACTCCTTAATAGTGTTTTTCTTTTTCTTATATACTTTCACATGCAGTAACTCCTTGCATATTAGATTTATTGCCTTGGTTTGAGTGAGATAATGAAAAAAGAAAAAAAATACAATATCCTAGATTCTTTGACAAGGAATAAAAGAATTAGTTTTCTATTTGAGCTTTAGCAGTATTAACGACACTGATTATGTTTTTGATATAAATTTAACGTTTGTTACTGTCATAAGCAATATCTTCCCTCAGTTTGGACTCTGCTGGAATTATCCACTTGTTACTGTGCTAATTTATATATAAGTGAATATTGAAGTCGACACTCAGAGGCGACAGACTTTCATGCTAAATGCAATCATCAGCTGACCTGATGATTGTGTCTTGCCTGAGACAGTCTGTCGCCTCTGAGTGTTAACTTCAATGTTTACTTTTATATTTACATACACTCTCTCTGATATTGAGCACTTTATAGCACACCATAAAACTATATTCCTACACACACACACACACACACACACACACACACACACACACTCTTTTACTTGTATTCTATGTATTCTTATTTGCTCTTAGCTCCGTCATGGGCCGCTCTGTTTATTAAAGCTTTCACCAAGGTGAGTCTTTAGTTCTGTTCATTATTACTTATATTTGAGCAGGTATTTTTTATTCCATTTTCAGAAATGCAACATCCTTCTTTTATGGGCCATGTCCCTTCAGGACATAGGTGATCATGAGGTATTTGTTCATATGTAACATATCTTGGACAGCTAAACCTATTGACAAACATCCCTCTCCAGTGTTTAGTGATTTAAAGCATATTAAAACAAGTTGTCTTAGTGTTGTCTGATAGAAAACAGTAATTATCTTATCAAAGTTAATATTCGTTATGTCAACCCAGTAGACACCCAGTGCCACAGCTTCACTACACTAAGTATTGCTGCTGTTGTTTTTGTAACAAGTAGGTTTTTATTGGTTTTGAATTCAGTTTTCCTGCTAGACTGATTGCAAACTAATGTTATAGAACCCAGTCTGCCTTACCATTAACTCCAAGCTGAGTGAGAAAAGATGATTTCATACTTGTCCAAGAGTATTTGTGCAAAAGTGAATGCAATGGTATCGGCTGGAATTTGAACTTGACACGTGAATCCCACTTTCGTTGGTGATGAACAGTAACCTTGAATGCACACATCCAAGGTTACTATTTATTTAAACAATTTTGTTCATAAATTTTACAATATCAGCCTTCATTGTTATTTTACTGTAACCTCAACCCTAAAGCTTTGCATAATGAGAGATTTACATGACTTACTTGTAGCTGAATATGTTTGATAAGAAAAAAAATAAATGAAAGCATTAATTTGAAACCAGGTTCAAGTAAGTTCAAAGGTCAGATTTAGGACACAAATAGTGCCTGTCTCTTTAATCCATTTATATTTATTTATCAACTTCAGGTGGGCTTTAAGTAAGAAGTTGATTAATAATAGGCAATGGAAACTCTGTGTGTGTATATATATATATATATATATATATATATATATATATATATATAAAGTGTACATTGTCATTGCTGGATGTTGACTGCAATCTGTTTTCATGCTAAACGAACTCATCAGGCCATGCATGTTGTTTTTTACTTCACTATTTATTTATATACGGGTCAGTGATTCATTGTGGATAGTCTGTTGTATTATTCTAATGGCTGTGTGTGTGTGTGTGTGTGTATATATATATATATATATATATATATATATATATATATATATATATATATATACACACACATACCGGGTGCATAAAGTATTTGAGGACATGTTTATAATAACAGGTACTAACTTTATTATTGAAAAATGTTATAAGCATAAAAATGTTATCTTTTTTTATAATTTTATTCAATAAAGCCAGCTTTGATAACTGCTTCTATGCAAGATCAAAATCGTCTCCATGCTTGAATTAAATAGCCCCAGTTCATATTGGACATTACTCTGTCTATAGTGGCTTTTGGTGTTATGACATCACTCTTGACAATGCTCTACGTGTAGTAGTCCAATGGGTTGAGATCTGAAAAGTTATGAGGTCAAATATTAGGGGTTATATTATCATGAAAATTTTCAGCCATCCATTCCTGCGTAACTTTTGCCTTGTGTGATAGTGTGAAGTCTTGCTGAAACATATAAGGCCTGTCTATTCAGGATATAACAACTGTTTCCAGGGGCCTCAATGCAGGCAGAAGAGTCAACTCTAAGGCATTCTGGAAAGAAATGAGGAAGCATCACATGCCCTTCATTGCTGACAATCCCCAAAAGACATGACAATTGCAGGAAATTTTGTGTGCATATCTGTTGGAGCTTCAGAAGGGTCTGTACATAACCATTTGTCATTTTTTTTTTTTTTCTGTTAAATTTCTGATATTGGTCAAAATTTTTCTCTGTGAAAAACCAAATCACACAATCTTCTGCTGGATATTGAAGTTTCTTTATGAGACATTTAGATCTGATTAAATGATTTTCTTTTGTTTTTATACATATATACACACATTCACAAAAAAATGCTGAGAAGTAAAATTTTCGGTCTGACTTGTCTTATTTTTGTTGTGACTAGAAACTTGCTTATTGTTATCTAAGCTACCTGTGTTTATATTTGTCTTAAAGTAGATGTCCCTCACAATAGCCATTCTGAATAAGTTTTGTCTTTTGGTTATTTCTCCCAGACCCTGTTCAGCCATTCACTTATTTAAGTCCATTAAATATGTCACACATTGCTTTTCTTTGTCCTTTTTTCCCCCCTCTATCTGCCCTGTGAGTATTAGATTTTCTAAGCTCTCTCATTCTGTCCCAGGAACTTCAGCTGCTTATTCCTGATGTTAAGGGTAAGTTTCCTCTTTGTTTGCATCCTCTCCAATCATCATTGCTGAAATGTTCAGTTCATGGTATCCTTAGCATCCTTCTGTAGAACCACACCTCTGTTGCGTTGAGTCTTTTCTTCATTTTTGAGGAAATTATCAGGCAGAGAATTGATTGTGCATGTAAATCGATGACCTGTTTTATTTTCTCTTACTGTGAAATCCCTTTTTTATGTTTTTGTTAGTGATTTGGAACTTGGGATATTTTTGTGAGAATTCATATTGATGAAATATCTTATCAGACATGTTCCATTGCTTTCATTGCCTTTATTAATATCTACAGATTATCAAGAATAACTATTCAGTTCCCTGTTAAAATAATGAAATCCAGGATAGAGAAACTTTCTTTCAAGTTATTTTTTCTTTTTTTATTCTATATGAATACGACAGAAGTTATCAAAGGAAACAAAAGTTGCCAAATGAAGCAATGTTTTTTTTTTTTTGTTCAGCAATTTTAAATTTTTCTGATTTGGGGCATAACTTTTATTCTATTTAAATGAATTTTCATTACAAATATCAATCTTATAAAGTCAGTAAGAATGTCAAGTTTACAGCTATATTGAAATACAGGTTCCTGTACGATCATGCAAATGTTGAGTCTGGTCAGTACCTAGATAGATGACAGCTTGGGAATACCAGGTGCTGTAAGCTTGGATGTGCGGATGGTGTAATAATGGATAATGGCTTAGAATTGTTAATCAAGGAGCTAAGTTCCAATCGGGTTTGTTATATTCATTTATGCACAAATATCCTTGGGAAAGGTATGAATCCACCTCTTCTCCTCCCAGCTATGGGTTAATTAGTAAGACTTGTATCAGTAAATCATTACCTCCCCAATAAAATAAAAAATTCAGGAAGCTAATAAGATTGAACACCAAAATAAGACACTGTTTTACATCTGAAGTATTGATCTTAAGAAAATGAAAATTTAAAAATAAAAAATCTAATCTCCAAAATGACCAAATCGAATGTGTATGATCAATAATTAAAGGTTTTTGTTTTTCCTTTTTTGGATAAATTCAACTTTTATCATTTTAATTATTCTTTATACTTTAATTTTTTTTTAATTTCATTATTTTTACTTATTTCATTTTCATTTCTTCCTGTTATCTTCCAGATTTGAAACTCCATTTGCAAAGTACAGACTATGGGAACTTCCTTGCTAATGAGCCCAGCCCCTTGACGGTAAATGTTATTGATGAACGTCTTCGAGAGAAACTGGTTATAGAGTTCCAGCATTTACGGAACCATTCTCTTGAACCATTGGCCACATTCCTTGATTATATCACGTAAGTATGGCATCAACCCTTTGTACTCTGCTTACTCGTATAATATATAGGTCTAATGAATTGGTTCATAGATTTCCCAAAATTTTTCGTATCTGCACATCTTCAGATTGAACCATGAACAAAGCGCTTTTCTACAACCAAACAAAAGCTGGCCTAGTGTAGCAGTCCGTATTCACTCATATGTGCTATATATATATATTTATTTATTTAATCATTTCACCCCAAGTAAGGTGATAAATCCACTGAGAATAAAAGAAAATGTGAAGACGTGAGTGCAGAGAAAGGCTAAAAAAAAAACGGGATTCAAAAAGACAGAAGATGGTGATTGACATTGCATTTAAAGTTTTTAAGATTGTACTTGGCAGGAAAGTGGGCACAGAGTTCCACAAGCAAGAAGTGTGAGAGAAGAAACTATTAGCAACGAACATGGTTACAACTAGCAATTAAAAGACCTAGCTGCCAATCTAGTTCTGTACTTCATGAAATTGAGGTACCAAAAGGAAACCTCATCAGAACAATTACCATGAAAATATTTATAGAAAAAGCATAGGGAAGTTACGCTACAGTGGTGGGAAAGTTACTGAAGCTGAGATTCTTCTTCATATCAAGTTGCCATACTACATTCATCCAGTGTTGCATACAGAGCCTTACCTGGGGTGTTAATGTTTAAGTGTGCATGGATCTTCAAAATTGGGGCAAACTAGATGATGTTCCATAGTTTGTGATTGCTAGCATTGGCAGTTGGGAACTACATCAGTAGCATATCCCCATTTCTGAAGGTTGTCTCTACAGCAACCAACAACTGTAGGACCAAAAGAGCCAGGCATCAGTGGAACCAAGGGGGAATGATTCTGTAGGGCTGAAAGATAGCCTGTTTTCCACATTGTTAAGGTGTCGGCACCACAGGGACAGACACTGACCAGGAGCTATGTGGTTCAGCTGAGTATAAAAAGCTGTGTCTTGAATCTCTTTGTAATTGTTTCACAGCCCTGGAGTGAATTATGAGGGTCAGTTTCCTGCTTGAACTTCTCAAATTGGGAATGAACTGGAGGAGCAATGCCATTAGGTAAGTATAGGTGATCTACTTTGGTTGGCTTGAGACACCCAGTGATCGATCTGCAAGCTGTGTTTAAGGCAGGGACCATTTTCTTTGCATGTGATGATTTGATAAAATTTCAGAGTTTAGGTGGAGATGTTAGAAGTAGAGGGTTGAAGTAGGCTTTAGAATATGATTTTTATGAATATGTGTAGGACTGCAGCTATCAATTCCTATGCCTAGGATTGATAAAACACCACTGTTTACTTTTAAAAAACTTTTTTTTTAATCAATTCACCCCAAGCAAGGCAATAATGTCACTAAGATGCAAGAAGCTACTGGGAATGAAAGAGGAGAAAACTTTAGAAGGAACTGGAAACCCAATCCTAGACAGAAAACAAGGGATAAACTTCTACTCCTGTTCAAAGAATCAGGGAGGAATGTGAACTGAATGAAAGGTTAACGGCAACATCATATTGGAACACAGGTTCCTGTAAAATTACTAAAGTTAAGCAATGTCAAGCCTGGTCAGTATCTAGATGGTCGACTGCTGGGGAATACCAGGTGTTGTAAGCATAGATATGCTGATGGTGTAATGGATAATGGCTTAGAATTGTTAATCTGAGGGCTGAGTTTCAATTCCTTTTGTGTTCATTATGTTCACTTACATTCAAATACTCTTGGGAAAGGTATGAATCCACCTTTTCTCCCCCCAGTTATGGGTTAATTAGTAAGACTTATATCACTAAACTAGTATTATTTCTTAAAATCTAAAAAAATATTTTCTGGCTTCAAATAATCTGCAAAGAGTTGATAAGCCATAGGAAATGAATCAATCAATATGGACGTGCCTGCAATAAGATGTAGTGTCAAAAGGACGTTTTTTTTTTTTTTTTCCATGATGCTGCTTGTTTTAACTACCTTCTCTCTTCAATGTTTATTGTTTTAAAAAGTGGTAATTGGAATAAAAATATTAAACATCATTTATTTATTAGATTGTTTATTTACAAGAATAATTTTATATTTACAACATTCTAAAAACTAATACAATTGTATTAAAAGTAATGTAATGAAATATTTATCATTTTCCACTTTTTTAAAGAAATACATATGAAAATATTTTTATTCTGTTTTTGTATCTGATTTCTACCTATCTACCTGTGTGTCTGTTTTCTGTCTCTGTGTCTTCTGCCTCTCTGTCTCTCTCTGTGTCTTCTGCCTCTCTGTCTCTCTCTGTGTCTTCTGCCTCTCTGTCTCTCTCTGTGTCTTCTGCCTCTCTCTGTGTCTTCTGCCTCTCTCTGTGTCTTCTGCCTCTCTGTCTCTCTCTGTGTCTTCTGCCTCTCTGTCTCTCTCTGTGTCTTCTGCCTCTCTGTCTCTCTCTGTGTCTTCTGCCTCTCTGTCTCTCTCTGTGTCTTCTGCCTCTCTGTCTCTCTCTGTGTCTTCTGCCCTCTCTCTCTCTGTCTCTTCTGTGTCCTCTCTCTCTCTCTCTGTGTCTTCTGCCTCTCTGTCTCTCTCTGTGTCTGTCTTCTGCATCTCTGTCTCTCTCTGTGTCTGTCTTCTGCATCTCTGTCTCTCTCTGTGTCTGTCTTCTGCATCTCTGTCTCTCTCTGTGTCTGTCTTCTGCCTCTCTGTCTATCTCTGTGTCTGTCTTCTGCCTCTCTGTCTCTCTCTGTGTCTGTCTTCTGCCTCTCTGTCTCTCTCTGTGTCTGTCTTCTGCCTCTCTGTCTCTCTCTGTGTGTGTGTCTTCTGCCTCTCTCTGTGTGTGTGTGTGTCTTCTGCCTCTCTCTGTGTGTGTGTGTCTTCTGCCCTCTCTCTGTGTGTGTGTGTGTGTCTTCTGCCTCTCTCTGTGTGTGTGTGTCTTCTGCCCTCTCTGTGTGTGTGTGTGTGTCTCTGCCTCTCTGTGTGTGTGTGTGTTCTGCCTCTCTCTCTGTGTGTGTGTGTCTTCTGCCCTCTCTCTGTGTGTGTGTGTCTTCTGCCTCTCTCTCTGTGTGTGTGTGTCTTCTTCTGCCTCTCTCTCTGTGTGTGTGTCTTCTGCCTCTCTCTCTGTGTGTGTGTGTCTTCTGCCTCTCTCTGTGTGTGTGTGTGTCTTCTGCCCTCTCTCTGTGTGTGTGTGTCTGCCCTCTCTCTGTGTGTGTGTGTCTTCTGCCTCTCTCTCTCTGTGTGTGTGTGTCTTCTGCCTCTCTCTCTCTGTGTGTGTGTGTCTTCTGCCTCTCTCTCTCTGTGTGTGTGTGCCTCTCTCTCTCTCTGTGTGTGTGTGTGTCTTCTGCCTCTCTCTCTCTGTGTGTGTGTCTCTGCCTCTCTCTCTCTGTGTGTGTGTGTCTGCCTCTCTCTCTCTCTGTGTGTGTGTGTCTTCTGCCTCTCTCTCTCTGTGTGTGTGTGTCTTCTGCCTCTCTCTCTCTGTGTGTGTGTGTCTTCTGCCTCTCTCTCTCTGTGTGTGTCTTCTGCCTCTCTCTCTCTCTCTCTCTCTGTGTCTTCTGCCTCCCTGTCTGTTTTCCATCATATCTATCAAAGTTTGCTCATATCTATCGAAGTTCAGACATTTCGTTCTTGAGAATTTACAACAAAAATATTAAACACTATTTATTAGATTGTTTATTTAAAGAATAATTTTATATTTACAACATTCTAAAAACTAATACAATTAGAAATTAATGCAATGCAATATTTATCATTTATCAATTTATAAAGAAACAAGTTGAAAATTTTTTATTCATAAATTTATAAACTTTTACTAAATTATTAAAATATGTAAGGAAATCTTTATTTACCATTTTATAAAGTTTGAATCAATTGGCAATTAACCAATATTTGCCAACCTTTCCAATAAATAATAAGTAAATAAATAGTGGAAATAAACAATCTAATATATAAATAATGTTTATTATTTTTGTTGTCATTTCTCCAGAACAAAGCAAATGTATAAATTCACTTTCATATGTTCAGGTTTTATTCTAATCATGCCTTTTTAACACTAGGATGGCCAGCTCTTTTGACATCTTTATTTACATTACGCCGCGAAGTAGCCATCTCTAATATATTCAATATTCAAGTCAGGAATAACAAGTCTGAAAAGAAATTCACAAATATTAGTATACCTCATACTGAAAGAAAGTGAGATATATATGTGTGTTTGTGTATAGATAGATAGATAGGGGACATAAACTCAAGTATTATTGCTTGTGAGAAATTTTTCAATGCATTTTTCTATAAATAGCCTAGGTGTCAAAAATGACACCTTGACCATTCAAGGTAAAACCTCAAATATCAGCTATTCCACTGAATATTTTTTAAAGAATTAAGTCTGTTAAGCATCTTTGCTAAAATTCAATAATTGTCCATAAGCCTTAGCATTGAACCAAAACTAGTTGTTCCATAGTAATTTGTTGAAAATTTGAAGGTGTCGAAAATGGCACCTCAGCCATCCTAGTGTTAAAACAAACTTTGCCAAAGAGAGCAGATAGTTTAAAAAAAAAAAAAAATGGTGTCGTGGGAAAAACTGTCCTTTTGACACTCTTGTCTTATTTTGGGCCTGTTTATCAATGTTTGGCCAATCAATTGGCTTTAAAGGATCTGAAATGTATTTTATGTAAGATACTCAGATAACAAGTATTTATTTACTTTGGAAAATGATACTAAAACAAGGACAAGCAGTTCCAAAAAATTAAAGATTTTATATATATATATAATTTTTTTTTTTTTTTTTTTTTTTTTTTTTTATAAATTTAGAGCCAGTCATCCACTTTTTAACACTTTGAGCTCTGACCACCACTTTACCGGTGGTAGAGAAAAATGACGTAATGCCCAGCTATCTGTTGAATGATGGGTAAACACTTGTAATTATTTTTATATCTACCATGAAACATTTACCAATTATTTGTGAATTTTGACTCAGGAGCTCAAGTAGAAAGGTTAAAATTGTTCAAGAACACAGGGGTCAAAGGGTTAAACAATGATAAGGATATTAGTCTGAAATAATTAATGGACTACTCCTCTTCAAATCAGAGAATATAGGACAACATCATATTTCCCAGGTATTGGTCTCCTGCACTTCATTTCCATTTGTCATCTTATTCATGTTCATACCCAAAACAAATGAAACAAGCCAGGTTGGTTTTAATTTTAGTGTCATTAACTTGGAAATTAACAAAATAATAAATGTTATAAATTCACACATAGCCTGCAGGTTGATTTTTATAACATGTAAAACCCTCCAATATCTGTCTATATTTCTGAGATGAGGTAATCCAAAAAGTGACTTGACTCAAAAAGTTCTGAGTTCAATACCTCGCCACAGCAGAAGGAACAAAAACTTGAAGAGTTGAGTTACAAAAGGGAATTTACTGAAACGGATAAAAAAAAAATTTACTGAAAAAAAAAAAAAAAAAAAGGCTTGGCACGTGGAATTAGAACAAGCTATAAAATGTTTGGAATTCGGACATATATCACCTGAAGAAGGCCGGAGTATACAACAGCCAAAATTTCTGGAAAATGGTAGTAAAGATGAGGACGACGATCTGAATGATGTAAATATGTAAACCCCTTGTTGGGTTATTTTAGGTACCTCCACGAGATCGCTAAAAAAAGAGCATAGCATGATGAAAAAGATGCTAAACTTGACGAAAACAAAATTTTATCGTCTAAATGTTTGTTATTATTAAGAGGAAAGGTCAAAGTATTTTTGGGGTGTTTTTTCCATTTTTTAATCGTTCCTAGCAAGTCAGAAATTTTTGTTAAAAATCTAGTTTTTTTGAGTCAGCAAAATTGACCATTTTTTTCCATTTTAAAAAAAACTGGAAATCTGACTTTGAAATTTTCTTAAATATCAATTATCATTTTTTCAAAACTTATTTTAAGAAAATCAGAAATTATAATGTTTATTTAAAATATTTTGAACCAAACTTAACTTAGCTTTTTGTGCCAAAAAGATGTAATTTGAAAAATAAAACAAAGCAGGTCATAAACTTTCGCGTCTCTTGACATGTGATGAATGATATATTTCTGAATTCCATGAGGCTTTCACCTTTACATTTATGATGTTTTATGGAAAATATATTGTAAAAAAATTAAAATAAAACTGTTAAGAGTGAGATTAAATTTCATATTTCTTAAGAAAGTTATCTAATTAATTTATAGGTACCTTTCTTATGAAATTTTATCAGAATTGTACATAAAATACTATAATTTTATGTACATTTATTACATTTTACTGTTATTTGTATTTCCATTCATTTTATTATTAATTTTGATATTTCATTTATGGAAAAATGTCATAACTGAGATTAATATAAAAATAAGATCATATAAATTTCATAAGATGATAGTGATACTTGTAGGTACCCATCTCAGTTGAAATTGAAAAATCAAATTAACTTCTCCACATGTGTTTCACAAAAGTAAAGGCTTTAACAGCAGAGAACAATGCTTAACTCAAATAACACAATTTAATTGTATTCTGGTTGGTCTTCCATATTTTTTATAATTACAGCCCGATTATAAACACAAAATTACATTTCTTAATTACTGGGGGTCTTCTGAAAAAAATACAATTTACAATGCGCTTAAAAAAGATCTATCTCATAAGGACATTTATGAAAGTGGATATGACTTTTAACTAATTTTATAATATTTTAACAACTTAAATGTAAAAAATCTATTATAATTAAAGAAATAACAAATAATTGTATTAAAAATTCATTTTTCATTGAAAAAATTTTTTTGCTTTCAGAAAATATTGTCCATATTCATAAAAACAACTAAAAGCAAATAAAAGCATTTGAAATTAAATAATATCTTTGTTTTATTGAGTTTTGTATGTTACAATTCAGAGCTGATTTTCATATGGTGGGGTCAAATTAAAAACAAAAAAATCATGATTTGCATTTTTCAAAGTCTTGTGCTTTTAACTATTGTAATCACTAAAGTGGACTCGATTGAATTTCTAGAGTTTTCATAAAATTAGTTATTGGGTGGGGGTAATAAATATAAAAAAAAAAATTTCTGCCATGACTTTAATAAAAAAACATATTTATAATAATTTTGATCATCTGTGAATAGTTCCTGAAAGTTTCATTAACATCCGACAATTATTTTATTTTTATTTTTGCAAGATTTTCCAAATTAATGTCTGTCATACAAAAAAAATGTGCTAAAAATCGTATTTTACTAGTTTCGGTGATACAAAGAGAAGGTTTTTTTAATCAAAATTTAGAATGTTCTAAAAAGAAGGAAAAAGCTTTTAAAATAATTAAAATAAACTTTGGTCTTTCCTCTTAATAATAACATAAACATTTAGATGATAAAATTTTGTTTTCGGTAAGTTTGGTGTCTTTTTCATCAAGCTATCCTCTTTTTTTAGTGATCTCATGGAGGTACCTACTTTAACTCAACTCTATATTTTTTGTTCACCACTATGTTGATTAGATCCAGTGACTTGACCAAAAAGGTTGTGAGTTCACTACCTTGCTACTGCAGTGTTGAACAAATACTTGGAGAGTTTATTTAATGGGACATCGAGACACTTTGTTGGGTTGGCAATGGAACTAGAAACTTTACCCTGGTGGATGAAATAAAGGGTTCAGTTCAAAATTCCAATCACCTGAATAAGGCAGGATCGTACAACAGCTGAAATATTGTGAATATGGCAATAAAGAGGAGGACAACAGTCCAAACAATGTAAATAATGTAAACAAAATCCTTTATTTGTA